GACATCACCTACAAATGACAATTAATGAACAAAGCCTATAAGATTCAGAGGCATCAGGACTGACAAGGATAGGAAAAGGACTCTCTGATCAAGAACAGAACAAAGGAAGCAAGATGAGCAAACCCAAATCACTCCAGGAAGCCCTTGTGGACCTGGGGTTCCCTTTTGAGTCCACCAAGAGAAAAGCAAGGGCTGGCATGTACAAAATCTATGAAGTAGTGTGTGAAGACAGCAAAGTAACCAGAGCTGAAGCTGAAGTAGCTGGAAATTTCAAAGATGCAAGAAATGCATTTGAGACCACATATCTGGTGTTTCCCTGATTTGGAGTCTTCATAAATATATAATCTCTTTATTTTTCAGGAATCACAAAACAGTTGTTTCCAAACACAGATGATGCCTTAATTAGGCGAATGATGGGACAAAAACTGAACAATTGCACCAAGAAGCCAATTTTAAGCAAAGATCTTAACTCAGGTGCTTTTCAGAAGCATAGCTTTTGGTAAGTCTTGGGGGAAAAAAAAAAAAAGTATCCTGCAATGTGTAATTCCATATGCGTGGTAACAAAATCTAAAAACAATCTTAAAATTACCATGAAGATGCCTGTTCATATATGGATGGACAAGTTGATTTCGGGTTATTTAGGTTATTTTCATAACCTTATACAAAAAGTGCATCATACAGAAACAGTCCAGCTTCACATTACAGCACAAAAAAAGTTGCTCATTCTAGACAAAGCAACACAAGGCTATTGAATTATTGGAAGAGAATACAGAAGTAAACACATGGAGTTACTTTGATCGATATATCATTCTATATTGGGCATCATTTTATATTGGGCATTATATACTTTTCTGTAGGCTTTCCAGAGACCACCCAATTCTATTTTCATTTCATATCACCTGTTGTGCCTCAATTAACCCACACATGAAGATAAGGAAAATCACACCCCTTTGGTAGTACTAATAAAAGTACTGTAAGGAGAGCTAAATGGGCACTCTTTTACCACCAGAAGAGTCTAAGTTATTGGGGCAGAGAAATTATTAAATAACATCTTCCGTATTATGGGCATTCTTACCTTGTGAACGAGACTGGTCTAAAACTGCTGAACTCATCCCCATCATTACTGAAGTCAGCTATTGGATGGCACTGTTTCCTCATATACCAAATGTACATGTCACGGAATAGTTGAAGTTGGGAGGGGTCTCTGTAGATGAGCTAGTCCAACTCCCACTGCTCAAAGCAGGGTCACATGGACTAGGTAGCTTGGAGCCACGTGCAGTTTGGCTGAGTATCCCCAAGGATGAAGATTCCCCAGACACTCTGGGCAACCTGTGTTAGTGCTTGGTACTCCTCACAATGAAGAAGTGTTTCCTCACGTTCACACAACACGTGTGTCTCGGTTCCTGCCCATTGCATCTGGTGCTGCCATTGGGCACCATCTTCTTTACAACCTTCCACCACTTATTAATACACACAGATAGGATCTGCTTGAGCCTTCTTGAGGCTAAACAGTCCCATCACTTTCAGCATCTCCTCAGGAACAGTAAGAGATTAAAATCAGTGAAACAGGGAAAACAGATTTGTCCTTATTTAAACTTTCCATACTGAAGTAATATTGTACTTCTTCCTAGTTCAGTTATCTCATGCATGTTTTAAAATCTGTATTTTTAATTATAAGACACTTCATAAAAACAAACAAACAAACAACACAACACAACACCAAGATATTTGAGTATGTTACAAAAAACAATTTTTTGAAAAATAGCAGTGCTTTGCTACTAAAATTCCTCTCTAAGCCACATGGTAGTGCTCCATGGACCACCAGGGGTCTATGAACTACTACTTGAGAAATACTCAGGCAATATCTGTTGGAAGAATCCACATACACAAGTTTTCCCATCTGGAAACAATAAACAAATGCACCAGCCTGCTAAAATACAGTTTACTATGTTAATGTTTTTCTCCTAGACATGAGAAGGCTTCCTAAAACAAATGTCCTCTGTTTTGTAACATACAGTGTGCATTGATTCACTGAAGTATTTTCCCTTTTCCTTGACACTGGGGGTAAAAATAACAGCACAGAAACACAAACCCTGTCTTCTTTGAAAGTATTAAACCTTAAATATTTTGTGTTTTGAATTCTTATCTTCATCAGATGCATCCATAAATTTTGCTAATTCCTGAGGCTTCTCATGTACAGACACAATATTCCAGAAGCTTTGATGGAAGGATCTTGAGATAGCATTATAACAATCCTAGGTTGCTTTTTATTACTGCCTATAGACCTTTTGATTTAAACTTGGTTATTTATATATTTATCTGAAAAATGTATTTATTTCTGTTATCGACAAATGCTTACATAAAATCCAGTCCAACATCCACTGAAAACAATGCAGATATTTTCTGCATAGTCTCTCTTGAATGGATGCTTTTTAGAATGCATTTATAATGGATTTATTATACATGTTCAGAATTTCCTCACTGTAAAAGCATTTAAACACCTTATAAGTAGTCAGGATAACAGTGGTGATTCCTTTAACTCAGATGACACAAATTTTCACTCTAAGAAATTTAGAAGAATTTAAAAGTGCTCATAATTTCACTGTTAAACCTTCAGTTCACCTTGCAATGATATACGGAGAGGGGTCAAGAGAAAATCCTGTTGTGGAGTACCCTTAGTAACAACTTACACACAAGTTACCTTTAAAACTAGTGATACTGCAGGTTTCTCCTCCCTTGCTGCTCCTCCTTCCTTGCCCACCTCCTCACCTTTCCCCAGAATACAATTAGGATTCAAGAGAAGGAATTCGGAGTCAGATCCAATGAGACAGAGAAGTCACCACCTCAGGTCCCTAAGACTCACATGAAACCAGGAAAAGGGAATATGCAAAACTCATTAACTAGCTAATAAACTCTGCTGGTCAGAAACAAAGAACAGCGGTAGCTGCACATTTAACATCAGTATCTCAAGCTTAGTTATAAATTGTCTCAACAGTGGTTCAACAGCTGCTCCTCAGGGCATCATCTCTTCGGCTGTTCCTCCCAGCACCCAAGACCAGCAGGATGATGATTCACCAGCTGCCAATGCACAAGTTCAGCAAAGTGACAGCCGTCAGACTCCTCCACCTCCCACCCCACAAGGTCAGCAGGAGTGTTTCAAGCCCACTTCCAAGGTGGAGTCTCAACTCGCCAGAAGCTCACCAGCGCCCTCTCCCAACCACGGTTGTGGACAGGATCTCAGGAATTCAGACAACAAATAACAGAAGGTATTTCATACCAGGTTAAGGAGTAGTATAACATAAAAAAGAAATAATATCTAAATGGGCCTAGCAACAGTGGACAGAGATACTGCAAGCAGAATAGAAGCCTGAAAACCATTTTCTCAAACAAATGAAAATCCCACAGCCTACAAAAAAAAATGAAAGCGTATTAATATCTTTGGCTTTAAGATATTATTAAATATATGCATGTTATGCACTAATAAAAAAATATAAACTTGTTCTGAAGAATTAAGTAGACTTCCCCTTAGCTAGCAAAAAGGCATTCTTTCAAGTAATACCAAAAGAATGTATAAGAGCAACCTTAATCCCCTTGCTTTCACCTTGACAGCTGATGGCAAACTGCTTTACCGATCAGAGAAAGCTATTGCATATTAATACAAAAAAGATATAGAGGTATGAAAACAGAATAGAGAAATTTCCTAGTGAAATGAAGACTATGGCCAGCACAGGGTTAGAAAGTACAGGACCACATGAGCAGAGAAGAAGAAATAAAATAGATATTTAAGGATGCTGTCAACTTGGAAGGAAGAAAACATTCTCGGGGCAATGAAACTACAGCTCTCAAGACGTCTGCAGGAAAGAAGTGGCTTGTTTTTAACCCCTGAAAGCTGGAAAGGCCATGAAAGAAGCCATGGGCCCTCTTAGCTCAGGGAATAGTCCCCCAGGATAGCCTGTTTGGTTGTGGAGGCCACAGCTTCTCTGCCAGGCCTTCTGCTGCTGGTACTTGGCTGGTTTGGCAGCTGTCACTCTCCCTGCCTGAACAGCAGGCCCACAGGATAAGTGTGCCTGATCCCTCCAGCCGGGAAACGGAGCCAGTCTCCTGGAAGAGACTAGTGAAGGGCCCAGTCACCAGCCTGTACTCCCTGTGCTTTGAGTTTGGTGTGCTGCCTCCTGCTCAGAGAGGGTGGACAGGTGGAGCATTCCTCATGGTACTGGGACGTCCCAGTAACTGGGCACTTCCTCCTGAGATCCGACACCACTTGTCTCAGGGAGCAGCCAGCAGTCACACCACCTGTAATTCCCTGAGGAAGAGGAGGAGGGAAGGTACATTTTTTTTCCTTCCTGAGTGTTTCCAGGTTTGCAGTGTGCCAGTAGCACTGGAAGGAGAGAACACGTGCATTATAGCTTTTGTGCTTGAGTGTACTTCTCCCAGAACAGAGAGTACTAATAGCTAAATCTATTTCATAGGAGGCAAGCAAGCAATTGAGGATTCACAATAAGAAAAAAAAATTTAAAAAATCATGAAGTTGAAGAAGTTTAGCTTGATTTGAGGAGAATTTCTGTAACTCAGGAGAGCTGAGTTACAGAAATAAATCAGCAATAGTATTAGGGTGAATGCTAGGAAAAAAAATCTGAAGATAAGGTTAGTGGCCAAATACCTCTGAAGGGAAGTGCTGCAAACCTAACTGTACCAGGACAATGCACTAATAAAATGCACCATGGAGAAGACTTCTGTGGGGCTGGGGAATGCATTTAGTGGTCTGCTAGCTTTCTTCATCTTTCCTCTCTATCAGTTCCTTGCAGATAGGATCAGGGTGAAAGCAGGTATGAAATACGATATAACTTCTATCTCATGTTATTAACTACCATCTATAAAATGTAACAGAAAGATATTTGCTATCATGTACATTTTGTATATGGAATTGTATTTACAGCATATAAAAATGTATATAGTTAATCATATTTTTGAAGCTACTTTCTATCAAATAAAAGGAAATATTACTATGTCTTAGTTCTATTTTATTGTCCTCACTATCTTTTGTACTTTTGCTTACATCAGCCTCTGTTGTACATTCTAACGTGTAAGGCTGGGTTGTTTTCTCTTGCTCTTTTTCTTTAATATCTGTTCTGAAGCCAGTTTCTGTAAAGCTCCTAATTTTTAGCTGGGGAGGGGGTTGGAAGCCACCTCACAAAGGCTTTCTAACCGTGAAGTTGTCACAGCTGACACTGGACAGCTGCAGCTGTTCTGCTGCTTGGGGGTGTAGAAGCACTTTGGCAGGTACAGGGAGTCAAACGTGGGCGGCTGGTGCAGCTCTGCAGATCATGCTGTGCTGTCTGCTTTGCTGTTCTGCTGACCAGCAAACTTCTCAAAGGAAAACCAGTGGGGCTGGCAGCTCACCACAAAGTGTGAAGGAGGATTTTTGTGGTAGGGTGTAGGGCCTTCTCCCAAGCATAGGCCAGAGAGAGAGATGGGTATTCTGGACAAAAACAACATAGATAAGGAGATATTTTAATGTTTAACCAAAGGGTAAAGAGGCAGAAAGCTGTGAAGAGACAGTTCCTTCCTCTGTCCTAAAGTATAGAACTGATGTTATACCACTTGATAAAAGAAGATAAAATAGCTTTATACAAGTACATAGTTAACAGAAAAGCTAAACTCCTTGCAGTATGACCAGAAAGGAAGAAAATATGACTGGTTTTCCAAAATGACCCTGACAAACTCTGAGAATACAGAACTGAAAACTTACATGATCACAGATTAGGAACTTCAGGAGTAAAAGGAAGAGGAAAGCAGAACAGTCTAATGCTGCTTCTCTGAAAATTTGCATTAAAATCAAAATTATTCAGTGATGTACAAATGTGTATTGTCAAGAAGTGTAAAATTCTTCTGGTATGAGTGACAGAGGACACATTATTTGCATTATGCAAAATTGGAGAAGGCTGATGGGTACTGCAGGAAAAAAAATTAACAGCAAGATGACTGTACAGCATTTACTCCCTGGGGATTTAGTACTGGAAAGGTGGTAATACCAAAATTAATAATATGAACTGTTTGTTTCTATTACTGCATTTAGATCAAATTTTAAGATTACCAGGGGAAAGAATTTGATCACTGTTTATTGTGACTCACTCAGTAAGGACACTTGTTTTCTAAGGAGGGAATAGTATTTTCTGCTGGAAATACAACACAACAGAAAGGAAGCAGCCTAGGAGGTTTCTGGAGTGTGTGGAAGATAAATTCCTGACACAGTGGGTAAGTGAGCCTACCAGTCTGTCCCCATGTGTCATAAGATGACCTGCCTAGCTGAACAGGGAGCTTTTGTTTGGACTTGGGGGAAAAAAAGTTTACCACCCTTGGAAGAAGGGGCAGGCTGCTCAAGAAGAGCACCGGGATCTAGTTAGGTCATGCAGAGAGAACATCAGAAAGGCAAAAGTCCACCTAGAGCTCAACCTTGCCACTGGTGTAAGAGATAATGGAAAAGGCTTTTACAAATACATTAACAACAAAAAGAGAGCCAAGGATCAGTGCCACTATTGGATGGCAGGGGGGGAATCATGA